CCACACCCCAGGTCCACTGGGGAGGACCATTTCTGCCCTGGTGTGGAAAATCCTGCAGCCTCTTCTCCAGTAGCCGTGGAGGACTCCTGCTGGGTCACCCCCCACCTCCCCAGGGGTCCGCCATGCAGGAGGCTGCAGGTACAAATGCTGGGAACCACCGCCACCCTGGGCGCGACCAGGGTGACAAACGTGGGGGGCTCGGAGCTGAGGCCTGTGATGAACTTACTGGAGATGTGGGCCCTGCTCTAGCCCCCACTTCCAGAGAGGAGCCCCCCAGGTCCACAGGGGGTGAAGTGTGGTGAGCAGGCCTGGGGATGGACTGCAAGGAGGAATCTGCTCAGGAGTAATCAAAACACAGATGCCTCCCCCCAAAGGAAGGGCAGAAAGCTGCCATGACCCCACCCTGAAATCCAGCATATCACCCCACCCCGAGCCCAAGCCTCTGCCCCACCCACCCACAGCCTCACGGGGCCAAGCAGGGGAGGGGAGGGGAGGGGACGTGGGTCAGGAATGTAGGGCAGGGCAGAGCAGGAGCAGCTGGCTACAGCAGGATTCTTTTAGGGCCCAGGAGGAGCAGGCAGCTGGGTCCAAGGAGCCCCACGGCAGGACCTTGGAGCTGATTCTGTCCTTGGGCCACGCCCACACTGACTGTCTCCACTGCAGCCCTCCATGTTGCAGCCACCACACCAGACCTGGCCCTGCCTGGAGGGCAGAGACTGGTCCTACTCCCCACACCCCTAGTGCAGTCCTCTCAGACTCGTGATGTGAAGTGAGCATCCCTGGGGCACTGGATCCCAGCTTCCTCCTCCTCCTCCACCACCTCCACCACCAGTTAGAGAGAGCCAGCAAGGGAAAAGATGTGCCTGGGCATTCCCTGGTGGTCCAGAGGAAAGGACGCCACACTCTCACTGCTGAGAGCCCAGGTTCAATCTCTGGTCAGGGACCTAAGATCCCACAAGCCACTCAGAACAGAAAAAAAAAAAAAAAAAAAAGGTGTGCCTTCCCTTTGATCCTGGACTTCCACTTCAGGGAACCTGTCCCAAGAGGTTAACTGGACAAGTTGGTGTTCTGGTATGGACTAGGATGCTCAGTGCAGATTGTGTAGAACAGCAAGAAATGTACAGACAAGCCAAATGCCCAAGACTAGAGTTGCTTAAATAAGTGAGGTACATCATACCGCGGGGCCCTCTGTGACCACAACACTCGTAGGCCAGCATGCATGGGAAACACACAGCTTAATGTATTCTCCCCAAAAAGCCAGTACACAAAGCCAGATGTGCAGTTTGACCATTTTATACATGTTTATTTGTGGGTGCATAAAGACTAGAAAGTCCATATAGAGGCTGTCAAGATAATCACAGTGGTATTACAGATAACTTTTTATTTTAGTTTTCTCAAGTTTTCTCCATGGAGCATATATTATTTTTTAATCAGGAAAAAAACAGTATGGGAATCCCCTGGCGGTTCAGTGGTTAGAACTTGGCACTTTCACTGCCAGGGCCTGGGGTTCAGTCCCTGGTGGGGGAAGTAAGATCCTGAAAGCCATGGAGCACAGCAAAAACAAAAACTTTTTAATTAAGAAAGGAAAAAATAATATGTATTTTCCAAAAACCAATGAGTTGTATGGACTGGTCTAGAGGAGGCTGAGACCTACCTTAGGGCGCAGGACAGGGCTAAGTCCAACATCTCATTCCAGTGAAATCACAATTAAATGAAAGCCAAGGGCAGTTCAGACATCTGCCCATGGAATTCGGTCTGCATGGGGGGGCCAGTGCCCCCTCCTGGAATTACCCTTGTCTCAGAGACTTAAGACTCAACAGGCTCTTAGGGACCATTTCTCCCAGCTCTCCACTGTACAAACTAGAATAGGCTGGACTCTGTCTTGGTTACCACTGATTCCCCAGTGACAAGAACAGTGTCTGGCACATAGTAGATGCCCATTAAATGTTTGCTGAATGACTTAGTGATGTCTGATGAAAACTAAGAGATGGGCTTTCTGGACCAAGGAGCAGACCTCAGACCCCACCCCTACAAGTGTTAATACCGTTGGTCTGACATGGGATGCTGGAACTGGATTTTTCTTTTTTAAAGACACACAGGGATTCTCAGATGCAACAGAGCACCTTAGAGGACAATCAAGGTGATAGAAATAGATAGCAATAGAGGTGAGAGGCAGGGCCTTGCCAAAATCACCCCTCCAGTTAGTGACAAAGTAGGTCCTGACCCCGAGACCCGGAGCTTCCTCCACACTGACCTCCGCGTTCCCTAGGTCCTGACCTCCAAGGCCCACCCTCTTGGAAAAGCAGATCACACCCCCTGTGATCACCGAGCCCTGAGTGGCACTCGTCCAGAGGCCCTGAGCCCAGATGGTGCTCCAAGGCCCAGCCATAGGCAGTCAGAGGCGATCTGACCCATCATATGAGACCCAAGGGGCCCATCCCACACTTGGGGCCAGTTCCCCCCAGCCACTGCCAGAAGCCATAGTAAATCCTTCACTGGCAGTGGCCCCCCTCCACCTCTGCTGCCTCCCACGGCGGGGGCCG